GTGAACGAGTTGAAACTGCCAAAGCGGTTCACTTTAATGCGAAAAACGTGTTTTGATTTTGCTAAATGCGAAAATATTGCATTTTTCTCCTAATCTATTAGAGAACAGTGAACATTTTAGTGCACTCCATTGCTTTGCAATTAAGGCTGCTGCAGAAAACTGTATTTAGATAATCTATTAATATGAGTTATGATAAATTTATTAAATGCGCAGTCCTATTGGGAAATGTGCTGATACAAATATTATTTTAAAGTATGAATATTTTTAAAGAAAATTGTGTGTACATCACCATCATATAAGTCAACACACAATTCAAAGGGTAGAATTCAAACTGGCAAGGGTTGAAATTCACTCGAAGGTAAATTGTAGAACCTGCCCCATTACCGCGAATACATTATATTCGTTTTTGGTTTTAAAAACTATGTCTATGAAAACAAGATCTCGTTTTTAAAATAAAAGATATTTTAAGCCGATTTCATTAATTTTATAAAAAAATTGGCGATTTTTGGCGATTATTTTTCAGAAATGGGTCTTTCCCTTTTAAACAATCTGGACATTTGGGAAATAAATTACTTTTTTTGTTTACCTTTCGGCACAAGCAAAATACTTAGAAATGTAAATTCACCCCGGTGCGACATAGCAACAACAAGGCCCAAAAACAACTTTTCAACGGCAGCGGTCAGATCGTTCCGATAAGCAAAGTTATTTTGTAAAAAATTCATCATTAAACGGTGGCTTTAAAATATCTTTGATATATATTAATTAAAGTAAACCCATATATTTGCGTTTATTCGTAAAATGTATGCACTAAACGCAACTTTATTACAATAAATTCTAAAGTTTATTTCATTTGGAATTGTGTGCTACCTAAAATTTCACCATTGGAAACTTTATCCTCATAAAGGACTTCACTACAGCTTTTTTTACTGGATATACTGAGGTATACACCGTGTTGCACAGCTGACAAAAACAACTGTGTACAAAAGGGTTGCTCCTTGTGAATGCAAAGGACGGCACCAAAAGAGAAGTGGCCGACAATTTTCCAAAAAGTTTACCTGTGTGAACCCAGTCTAACTAAACGATGGAAGTTTTCGTAATAGTTCCAAAACTGTAACTTAAGCTGATGCCAGATAAAACGCTTGCTTCGCTTTGCGTGACAGATTCGCTGTGACAGATAAGATGAATTGTATGAAAATGCGCTGGGCATGCCACATAGATCGGGCCATCTTTTTACGCGCGTTGACAATCAGCTGGTTTATAGTTTATTTTGTTTCGTCCAAATTCGAGTTTTCATGCAAAAACATAAAAATTAATTATGGCCTGCTTTTGCTTATGCGTAAAATCACATTTAGAGCATTTAGGTCTAAATGCTATTCTAAATGTACATTTATCCATACAAAATTCATCACCTAAATGCAACTCCATTTTTGCATTAAGAATCTAAATGCTAAAAGCAACCCTGTGATCTTCCAAAATTTCCACGATTCGAACATGGTTTAAAGAGAAAAGGTGACAACATTGCTTTTTCGAGTACAGTATATTTTGCTTTGCTGCCTCTATGCTTAAGTGCACATTTAAGATACCTACCCCAAAATGCGCATCAAAAGCTTTATTTTCAACCTTTATAAGGAAACTGCTCCGATAGATGCATTCAACATACCTGCACATTGGCGATACCTGCTTTAAAAATTGTGTGACTAGTATCAATTATCAATGAAAGTATTACGTTTACCTGTACTGGCCTAAAATTACCTAATTTTACAACCTTTTATTTATTTTGCTCATCTCGCAGAATAACGAAAATGGCTATCAACTTATGTAGTTATATAGATAATTAGATAACATTCGGTAAAAATTTCGCTTACAGTAATTTCTACATGCTAAGTGCTCCGCCAATATTTGGTTTCATAGGGATTCGGATACCTTCCTCATTGAAGTAGTAAAAAAAATTCGCTTAAGTGCCTTTTTCGGTTACGTGCACAAGTTTTTCGTGCAAAGAAGGATGTGCAGCTAAGCAAAATATACTGTATACAGTTGCTGGCAGCGTTTCAGTGATCGCCGATCGAGATTTCTTTTATTTTACATTACATATTTGGATAAAGAAAAGTTAAGCAAATTCAACATCGATGTCATGCTGATAGAAATCAGGATCAATTTATGATCAACTTTGTTTGTTTTGTTTCCTAATTAAGTGAAGAAATTTTAATTGACAGCACCGACAAATGATTATATACACAAACAAATGTTCGGTTATGATTAGAACAATTCAAGTTTTTGTATTGAATTTTTGGTTTAAAATTTATTTTTTCCTTTTTAGTAGGGTTTTTGCAAATTATCTTCTGCGGGAGAATTGATCGTAATATATACGGATCTAAATAAGAGACTGGAACACGACTGTTTGTTAAAAGCACACGATTTCGAACTCGCGTATATGTACATTTGCTAAATGCTATAGCATGAACGTCCTTCGAAAACATATGTTCGAAAGTGCTAAATGTTGCATTTTAAATGCAGCAAAAACGCTGCATTACATTCCGATATTTTTAGAACTAAATGTATAAAATGCACAACAATTTTGACTAGTAAATCAGCAGTACAAAACTGTTTTCTTGGCGTTCATTGTGGCACACTTCGTGCGTCTTGCGCTTTGCTGACAAAGTTATATATGTCACGTAAATCCACAAAGTTTTTTGGCGCCGCTTTGGCAGCAGCGCGAGTAACACCCGTGCTTGCCACAATGAACGCTTAACAACGAATTATTTGGTCAATAAATCAACATACTAGCGGCAGATAAATCAAAATTGTATGTCAAGGATTACATTTAAAACTACATTTTTTGCCTGCATTTGATTAAAAAGGAAAATTATTTCAATAATTTTGATTATTTGGAACAGCTAATGAGCGACGCATACAAAAAGTTGAGAGCTGGCCATGTTTCTGCTTTGTATTGGCGTTAGCGTTGCCCAACTTTGGTTATGTGGAGACTTTCAAGTAGATGCATGTATTCGTAGTCAGCTGTGGAAGCGACGCCAATGCAGTACCAAAGTTGTATGTAAACGGGCCATATCTGCCATTAGCTTTACAGTTATTTCAGACACTATGGCAACATTGACCTCGAGTGACAGATTTTAGACTTATCGACTAAAATATACAATTGATATTTTTTTAGCATCACTATGTTGTGTATAATTTTGGGTTGAGTCCTGTTAATTTTGAAGCTTAGTGTAAAATTTGTCAATGGAAAGGTTTCAGGCTGTTTTTTATCCCATCTAAAGCAATTTCTCTACATTCTAGTAACATTAGTTAATTGGAAGTTATCCCGATGCGTGTTGTAGGCTCTGTCCATCGGTGCCCGTATTAAGAGATGGTATGTGTATTCTGTAGCTGTATATAATATATATGTACGCACGGAAATTGGTAGTATAAGTATAATTGTTAACAGCCGATTTCTCAGCGAATGTTTAATTATAATCAAAAGACTATCTCTTGTCAGTTTCTCAGTGTACTTAATAGATGATTAACTCATTGTTAATTAGCCAACTTCAGGCAGTTAACTATTGATTTACTAAAAAATTGTTAACTTATAGTTATTTATCAACTGAGAAATCGGATGTAAGTGTTTGGCCGAGCCCAATCGCGCGTTTTGGTGTATATCTTGAACTCTTCGCACAAATGGATATCCCGTACATATCCCGAGCGAGATAATGGTGGTGGCCTAGCGTTCACGCAACACACTGTGCAGTATCGTCTTATCGAATCAGATATCGACCGCAGGGATAAAATCCTAGAATGTCAGGATACTGCTATCCGGTCAGGCGATGCCAAGCTTGACACACTTAACGTATTTATACCCCCTGCCACCAGCTGGCCGGCAGGATAACACCCTGAATGCGTTTTTCAGAGGTGAAAACCGTATAGTAGTTGGTGACCACGATCTTTAGCATTCAAGCCTGTCGAAAGATCGTAGGGGAACACAACTGGTTGAACAGATGGACGATTCGACACTCTCCACAATTAACGAGGACGCACCCACCACGATTATGGGCAGCTGTTGCAGTTCGCCAGACCTAACAATCGTCAGCGCTGGTCTGTTAAACAGCATATCATGGCACCCTTGGCTGACATTAGCATCAGACCATCTGCCCAGTCTCTCGATTGATAAACCTTCCGACTTTGCTTTCGCCGGTAACCGGACCTATTTCAACTTCTCCAAAGCTGATTGAAAAGGCTTCGCGGACGTTACAGGAAGCACCTTCACTGCCCTACCCACACCAACCGACGTTCACGTATATGTGAGTATATTACGGAGGGTGTCGTTGTTGTAGCGGCACTACTAAGCCCCGCCTATTTCGGTTCATCGTCCAATCATTGTCGTCAAGCTCAACTAACTGAATGCCCAGGAAACGGACTGTTTCAATAAGGTCTAATCAAAAGGAGAGCGGTGTCAGCTGAGTAGAATTGAACTGTCGTGTGAAGAGGTTGTTGGTGTCGCGCGGGGAGTCTCCACATGCCGGACACTCATTGGGGATATTGGGGTCGAGCCTGGACAGGTAGTTGTTGAGGTGGCTACAATACCCAGACCGTAAATGAGCCAGGGTAACGCGGGTCTCTCTTGGTTGGCAGTTGAAGCTCCGTCACTTCTATAGGTGGTGATTGGGCTCCGTTGACAACATTCATAGTTGTTGTTGTTGTTGTTGTAGCGGCTACAACAATCCCGCCCAGATCGGTTGATATCTCAGTCGTTGTCGTCGAGTTCCACTAACGGGAGCTCCAAGAAGCGTGCAGCCTCTATGGGGTCGGTCCACAGGGACGACGCCGTTAGGGTTGTGGGGTTTTCCGGGCATGCAAAGAGATGTTTCGAGTCGTGAGGGGTCTCTCTGCATGCCGAATGAATGGGCACATCCCCGCATTTAGCCTACTTTGGGCCACGTAAACCGACAATCTTAAATTTGTATATGCCAATTGAATTCGTTTTTGTTTTTTGCTTAAAAATTACTTGTCGGAGTTATCATTTACTTTTTTATTGGGAGAAGAATGAGTTGTGTCACATCAAATCTAACTAAAACACCTTTACCTTTTCTCTTTCAGCACAATCATTATTTCCTCATACTAATGCATTACATATGCAGAGAAAATTAACCCTACCAGAAAATAGCGTCACTACTACTTCGAATAAACAATAACCTCTGACATAATGCAGAACGGAGTGTATCCAGACTTTGCCAAACTTACAACCCTTTCAGAATCAACTAATTTTACAGGAGCTTCCAAATTCCAAGCACCGGAAATGAGATTACCCGAAGGTATTACCGAATTAGAAGCGAGAAATGAAAAACTTGGGCAAAATTTGGTGCAAACTAACACAATGGCCAAGGGGTTCTATAACGCTCGTAACGATAATTTGAGCCTGGATATTGATGGCGCAGAGATTTGTACACCACATTCGAATACAAGAAAGGGATTTGATAATAAAATCGCCTTTGCACGAACAAATTGCGAAAACCCTTCTGATGGCGCTATATCTATAGACCGATATGGAAAGCGAAATGTACGTCGAAATAATCGAAATATAGAAGGAGCTCAAAAGGTAAACGCATATTTAAATTTATATCTATGTAGTGTGCACTCTTAGGGCCAGTTTCTCAATATCTGGTAAAAAGCGCAGTTACCCATGGACGAAAACGGAGAACGTGTCAGCTGACACGATCTATCTTATGGAATCTGCGTGTTAACAAAAACTAACCACCGCATGACCGTGTAGTAGGCGTGGCTTCTCTATCTTTCTATCAACAGTAAACCAGATATGTTTCTACGCTACGTACACGTTCGTGTGTAACCGCGCTCTAACGCTAAGGGCCGGTTGTTCAGCGTGTGGTTATAACTATATCCCAGTTACAGCCGCACTCAGAAACGTTCCTTAAATTTGCTCTAATGGGCACTTAACTAATGATCGTTAAATCTGTTAATTAATGTTTCCTCCCAGAGTTAAAAATTATGAAATAAAAAATTTAAGTATGGCCCCAGTTGCGACCCTTCATTTTTGTGGCATCACTCACGTTTTTCGTTCAGTTTGAAATAAAATATAAAAATAAGTATTTATATCATTTTGTACGCACTGGCTCAACAGACGCAATGGCTGAGTGAGCAGAGCACTGGCGTGCTATTCGAGAGATCCGAGTTCGAGTCCTAGGGCAGGAAGATTTTATTTTTCCTTTTTTTATTTATATTTATTTTTTTCTTGTTTAATTTTTATAAACTATCTTTATTGATTTTTTTTTGTATTTTTGATCTAATTTTCTTTTGATTTATAGATTTTGTTGCTATAAAAACCAAACAAATTTTTTTCAATTTAATTAAATTTTTAGAAACTGTTTGCTAAAAGACAAACAAGACCAATAACAGACCAATTTTGGCATCTGTCTTTCAACTCACCTCAGTCTTTCGAGAGACAAAAGTATTTATATTTCGGCATCTGTATTGAAAGCCCTTTTCTGTATTTCGAATGACTAATTGAAAGATGTGCTAATAGCGTTATTATATTTATCGTTTAGCAATAAGTTTTCTAAAAACTAAACGCAATGAAAAAAAAATTTAAAACAGGGAAAACAAAATATTTGGGAAACTGAAAGTAAAAGAAAAAATACGAATTAAAAAAGTTTCTAAACGTTAAAGAAAATAAAAAAATGTAATTTTGTAAGCAATACAACTTAAAAAAAATTCGTTGCCGAGGATTGAACTCGGATCTCTTAAATGGCACGAAAGTGCTCTGCTCACTGGGCCATTCCCACCGTTACAGTAACGTTATCGAAATTGAAATTTATTGAAAGCAAACAAAAAATTCCAAAATCATTCGTTAAAAAGTTAAGTAAAGGTTTTTCTTTACTTAACTTTAATGTTCATTAAATGCCGTTAACGAATCATTAGTTGTGTTTTTTTACAAATTATCCAGTAACTTGCCAGTAACTCTCCAGTAACTTTATTTCTAAGAATTCGCTCTCGTAGAAAAAATTTGCAAAAAAGTACGCGAACGCTTTTCCAGTAATAATTTGTAAGTTTCATGAACAGCTGATAAATTGGTTGTTTATTCGCAGCATATTCCCAATAAAACGATATATTTTATATTTAAATATGTTTGTTTTGAAAATTTCCACAATAAAAATCCACAAACAGTTTCCTTATTAGTTTAAATTTCATACAGCAACATGCGATCAGCTGTTTTTCGTACTGGCAAATTCTTACAAGTAAAAATTTATCCAGTAAAATCCAGTAAAAACTTGCAACTTCAGCTGTCATTTTCCGCTCTCTCAATTTCCCCTACTTTGCAAGTTTTTGCGTACGAAAACGCCAAAACATGAAAATTCGTAAAAACTTTTACTGGATTTTACTGGAAATGAGTAAAAAAACGCAACTATTAACTGACTTTGAGAGGGAATTTTTTCGAATTGTTACTAAGGGACACCTTAAGTAATCATTAAATGGCTCTGAGTGCGGCTGTTAAACATCATTATCGACGTTTTCCACATCATGCATATAACATGTTATCGATAAAGCAGTAGTTGCATTTAACCGAAGCTTCTACCTCCGATTTGGATTAATCAGACATTGAACAACCGGCCTTCTCTATCTCTGGTTAACACTAATCCCCCGTTAAACATAGTTACCGATGTTATCGACTCCCTGTTATATGCATGGATTCAGAAAGTCGATGACGATGTTTAAGCCTGGAGTTAGTGTTAACCAGAAATGGAGAAACCGGCACAAACTGCAGGTTAAACATCGTTATCGACGTGTTCGACTCCATAATATATAACAGGGAGTCCATAACGATGTTTAACATTGAGAAACGAGCCCTTAAGCTGAAATTAGTCAAGAACGTAAACCTACCGGTACGTAAACCCGAGTCAGCTGACACGATCTGTCTTACCAAAGCGCCATGTAAATGAAAACTCAACACCGCAGAATTTTTCTGTAGTTGTAGCCCGTAGCGCAGAAATCTGCGGAATTTAGATTTTTCCGTGTCAGCTGATTTCTCCTTCTTTAGACGGTTGCCACTTCGTCAGTTTTACAGATGGTAAAAGAGATATAAGTTCCTACTCAAAATATGTTTAAAATATTTGAAATTTACTATTGAATAAGGTTTTTGTTGAAAACTAAGTAGTTTATATTTAGCTAAAATCTATTATAGCACGAAAAATTGTAGTTGAAAGGGTAAGTTTATGAAAAGACATTGATGAGTGGCAACAGTGTAGTAAGCAACACTGAGGGCTGCAGTAATCGACAAAATTCTGCGTATACAGACTGCGTTTAAGTACACGTTCTGCGTTCTCGACTAATTTCATAAAACTCATATAAACCAAATTTTAAAACTTTTTAAAAGACTAGAAAAAAATTAAAAAAATTTCACTCCAATTTAAATTATTAGGCCGTGTGCGTGTACGTCGAAAGTGTCGGTAACGTAGTGAATAGATTTTTTCCGAGCATGCTTTTCAACCTAAATGGAACTGTGAAATGTACAGCGACGAGCAAAACTGTAACGTGGTGTAACACTTTTTATTTCAGCCACCGCTATATTTCCAAGTTCTAACGACATTCATCCTTTTGTTGTATATTCTTGTTGGTACATCCCTACTCCCTCTCTCATAACGATTTGAAGTCAATACAACAACAATAAAAAAACCAGCAGACAAAAATGTAAATTAAGGCAGATGTTACAGTTTTGCACTCACTCTCAGTTTTGCATTTGACAGTTATCTTTTACTTAGTTGGAAGTCAGATAACTTTTTTCTATATTGTAATTTATTGAAGAAGTGATCACCAGTAATTAACATAGTTAATCAGGAACCATAAATGTAAATAATAGATTTACTGCGGAAAGGCGGAACCGCACGAAAAGTGGCGAAAAATTTTGGAATTTGCTACTTGAAAATGTTAAGACTTAGAAAAAATATAGGCTAAAGTGTTCCCAAGGACAAACGAAGTCTGTTAAAAAATAATACGGTACGATATCTTGTGAACTTAGCAGCAAGTAGCGATGCAGCTACTATTACAGAACCGCTTAAGGTATTAAACTTTAATGCAAATCAATAGACAGCGAGGCGAAGAATTGCCAAATTGAGCGCAAAGGCATCATAAAGAGGAAAAAAGCAAATTTGATCATAATACATGTGCGAGTGTGGCAGCATTTCGCTGCATCGCACGAAAACCGAACCGTTGCCTATTGGGATATGTGAGGTCTTTCAGAATGCAATAAAAAACAGATTTTTAAGTTTCAATTGAAGGTTATTTGGTCTGACAAGACTAAATTAATCGCTTTCAATCAGATGGCCGGGCATGGTATTGGGTCAAAGACCCAAATTAAGCCTAAGCGGATCATGTACGGCAAACTGTGAATCACAGTGGTAGGATCTTAATTGTTTGGGGTTGTATTTCAAAAATTTTGTTGGTCCGTTAGTACGCATTATGTGTAAGGAACAGTATCAGTTCATATTTCAACAAAATTTGCAAGATGTAGTCGAAAAATGAGAGTTTCTGCTGAAAAATCACCCAAAACATACTGCATATGATCTCAAAGACTGGATAAAAAAGCAAAAATTTGCTAATTTGAAATGACCTCCACAATCCGCGCACATGAAACTCAACTAAAAGCACAACTTAATAAGTATCAAAGTCCATAAAATCGAGTACATATGTAGCTGTGAAAGCAAACTAAGGATATACCTCCAGAATTTTTACAAAGATACAAATAAGGCATGCCAAATCGCATCCAGGAACTGAAACAAGCAAAAGAGTACTGAACATTGTGTTAATAGTTCTTTTTTTCGTGAAAATTGTTAAAAAGTTCTTAAAAATATATGAGTGCAAAACTGTAACATCTGCCTTAATTTACATTTTTGTCTTTTGGTTTTTTTTATTGTTGATGTATTGACTTCAAATCATTATGAGAGAGGGAGCAGGGATGTACCAAAAAGAATATACAGCAAAAGTGTGAAAGTCGTTGGAACTTGGAAAGATAGCGATGGCTGAAGTAAAAAGTGTTACACCATGTTACAGTTTTGCCCCTCACTGTAAAAGGGCGCGCAATTAAGCGAACAATTATTTTTTTTAGAAGTTTTGAGTAATTTTTATCTTTTCTATGGCTTAAAAAAGAAAATATTCAGAAAAATGTTAGCATAAATATATTTGATTTTGGTAAAAGTTGGTCCCGATGAGCTAGAAAAAAAAGAAAAGATGGGCATGGCTCGCCCCTTATTTTTGATTTTGATGGTATGATTTTTTTTTGCTGCAAATTAAAAGGGGTGGTGCAAGGGAGTGGTAAAAGTGGAATTTTCAATCTTTTTAAAAGCTTATTTTTCGAAAGTTATTGAACGAACCGGTTTTCAAAATGGAATGGATATGGTTGAAAATGTAATTCAAATAAGATATGTATATCAGAACAAAGCAATATTTAAACAAGTAAAGAAGTATGAGTTCGGGCGAAAACGAACTTTATATACCCGGCGCAGGTACCAAATATCGTCGTTTCAACTTTCTCTGAACAACCTTTGCATGATAAATAGGGGTGTTTACCCGATTTCAAACGTTTTCGAT